AACAGGAGATGTAACAAGAGACAGCGTAGTATAGAATGTCTGATTATACAATGTCAATTGACTACTATTGGCCGAGTGCCTTTGGTTTGTGCAGAAAAATCGACACTTCTCCAAAGTGAGACAAGTAGTCACGAGCGACTGCGAGTTGTGACAAGCCACGACAAACGAGCTCTATACATGTTAGCGCTCGCTTTCACTCGGTCAGCTAGGCGAGTGACACCGAACGATGGCAAAGCAAGGCAAGGCAAATAGGCTGTCTATACGTTGGTATTGGTCTTCACCCGGCAACGTTGGACCGACATGGTCACTGTATTGCTGGCTTTATAAAATAAGAATTTTTTGTAGTTAGTTGTTAGTGGGAATAAATCGGAAACGAGTGGATAATTTTTTTTCAGGAACTGAGAATGCCTAGTAAATGGCTTTTGTTTAATTTAAATCAAATATAAAATTATTGACCAATAAACCTAATGATGGAACTGCATTATCATGTAATCCAGTTACATTCAAAGTTATGTTAAAATTTGACTCCTCAAAATGAAGCGAATAAATGAAGTTGGTCTTTGATTCAATGTTTATATTCGGCACTCCTATGATTTCCAACCATTCTTTTTTCTTTTTTGATTTGTAGGTAAACTTGAAATAGTAAAAATAATAATAATGAAATAATAAAAACCTCGTAGTTAATTATTTTAATAATATAATATCCATAATATGTACGCTTCCAAGAACAACACTATCTCAAAATAATCGTTAACAACAATCATCAAAATATACAAACAAACAGGCAATCTGTAGAAACCAAAGCAAGATTTGGCAAGATTTATGAATAAACTACTTCAATATGTCTAATTACATGAGATATTTGGGCTTTTGTGTGATTAATAGACAGAAAAATAACACGTGCCTGTACAATGTTACATTCGGTCAATCTTCGCTTTTTCAAATGCCACATCCCGTAATACTGAAGCGACGAATTTTTATTAATACTTAATTGTTCTCACTGTCAATATTTTTGTCCATTTTATTACAATACATGCGAATAATTCAATAAAACACTTAGAAAAACATTTGTTATGACATTTAATGTACCTCTCTTGGACAACCGTATCATGTACCTCCTGTACTGCGAAATGGATACGGTTGGCATTTAAGATGACGTTACGTATTTTCGATTCCCGTGTTTGACACAGACCAATGTAATGCTATCTCTTTTGGCTTAAGTCGGCACGCAATAGTTAAACAAAGACAATAAGATGTTTATGTTTCAACGTCGAAATGCATCATACACATATAACGTCTGATTTATATATGTCAACGTAACATGTCCTTTAGTTTCCATAGTCTAAGCACTGCGCTCGTCACCCTGAGATATAAGTTGACAAGTCCCATGTGCCTGTAATTTCACCACCTGTATGAAGGGAACAACGAAGTGATGGATGATCATAACGCTGAATGGAAGATGAGAATATACTGTGGCGATCCCAAACAATGAGAGAATGACAGGAGGATAACGAAGGTAAGTTTGAGAAGATGGTTTTATACACCTACCGATATATTTATTTACCATGGTATGCAAATCATGCGTGTTAGAAGCCAAGTAAATAGAAATACTGGCCTGAAAATTATGCCACAGCGTGTTAAGATACCTACGATGAATACATATATTTAGGTACTTATTTACTTATAACTAATTAAAAGAGAAATCTAGTGAATACTTGTATTTAATTATGAAGTGCTAATAATGAATGTAATAATGTACATAAAATAATACAAAATAGCTTATATTATGCTGGAAAAATTATACCTACTCTCGATCTCGTTAACAACTTTTCGTGAAAGTTACATGGTATAAATGGATCAGGTGACAAACAACTACGGACGCTGAGGGTTGATATTATTTTAAGGACACACGATATAGCTGTTGGTTCATCCGGTTATATTACGAACGTCTGATGATTATCGATATTTAAGGAGCTTTATTTGGACATCAAAAGTCAACAAACGCTCACTAAATGCCTGTTAATAGTATTATAGTTAATATTATATGTTATATTTCGGTAAAGAACCCGTTAATATCGTATGCATACATTTACTTTGAGCACATGAAAGTTGAGGTAAGAATATTTTTTTTTATGAAGAGTAGGTGTCGGCGAAACTTACTATTTACCTACTTGTGATACTTATAGACTGTGGTACTTTATATATACTTGCCCTAAGCTCGAGGGGTCAGGGACACTAAACACTGTCTGTGAAACAGACAACGCAACGCAAAAAACGCAACAAAATGCAAGTATCCACTTAACAAGGTTCTTCGCCCTCGCGGGCGTGTATTTGGTGTGGTATAATATTTGGTGTGGAATGGGTTGCGATCCGATCGCCTGTAACGTGGTGAGAATGATGGGATCGTCAAGGTTCCTAAGAATGCGTAGGTGGTGTTTCCTAAGGGGCACGTAGTTGACAACAGACACCACGAAAGGATGTTGTTCGGAAACATAATGGAACTGTTCTCCCCACGGGTGGTGGGAAGAGGAGTTGAATTATGTTTTCGATGTCTGGTTCATAATTGGGGCTATTGTGGGGAACCGTAAATCTACGTGGAAGTTATCGTGGCACAGGTAGTACAGGGTACGAACGGCGTACCCCAGCACAAGAACGGCAATTGTGGCGTTATGTCCAGTGTGTGTACTGGAGTGGCTGTCTTTCAGCTGAAATGATGATGATTATAAGGTACCTACTACGGGCCACCTGTTGTATTGCGCATGAATCAGTTTTGGATTGCTTGTAGGCAGTACTTAAACTTTGATAGTTATATAAATAGAATCGATGGCCAAAAATGCAGCAAGGAAGCTTGGCACCCTTTCCAAGGTGAGGCGTTACTTCGCACCCGGACAGTAGCTTGAGCTGCACCAAGCACAAGTCCGGTTGTGTACGGAGTACTACTTCCACTTATGGCTATGGGATGGTTCTGATAAATACCTACTAGTCAACTTGGATTCATGTGAAAAGCGTGTCAAGAAACTTATAGGATTCGGATTTAGTAGAGTTGCAGAGCCTAGAACACCGCTGTAAATTGGCCTTCTTATGAGTATATCCTACAGGATATAACACTGAGAGTGTGTGATGGCATTCATGATTTAATTCCGCCTTCGCCTTTCTATCATCAAGGAATTAGATTCCTCGTCCATAGGTTTTGGATATTCCAAGGATTCACATGCAGCGTTTCGCTTCCACGTTTATGTGGCGAACGTCTAAGGACTGGAATTCCCTGCTTGCAGACTTATTCTCTGACCGTTATAACTTGGACCTTTTTAAGGTGAGAGTGAATTGACATTATTTAGGTGTATATTTTCTATCGTCACTTTCTATCTCGAGAGATGGATATCATTTAAATGATCAAAATATAAATAAATAAAAAAAGTGGCTCTTGAGGTTTAGGTTGCCCTTCAGAGAGAGGACAGTTGACCCGGATGACTCCGGAAGCGGGGGACATTCACTTCACCAGAATGGCGCGAGTATAGGGGAGAATCTGCGTGGACACGCGCTGTAATGGGGCCGCTTCGATAATTAGGTATGGAGTGTGAGCAAATTGGGATCTGGTTGGCCTATAACGTAACAAGTGATGGGATCGTTAGGATTGTTGAGTACTTCCTTGATCGACGGTTCCTACAACGGCGGCCCGGATGTTCTCTGGGGGAAACTCTAGTTGGCAGCGACCAACGCAAAGGCTTTGAGATTATTTTTTTCTGAAGGATATTTTGCAGTTGGCAGATAATGGAATTGACAGCGCTACCGGGCATGAATCGAAGAATTGAGACTGAATTCTAATGCCGTGAGCAAAATGCTGGCATGGTTATCTAGCGAGAAAGTATTCGGTACCGAGAGTCGTATAGCAAGAAGATATCAATCTTCTTTGTTTACTTTGTTTAGTTGTTACTTTGTTAAGAAGAAATCTTCTTGCTGTTAGAGCCGGTTCCAATAATAAGCGATAGACGTGCGAATTTTATTTTTTTCCATCCTCTAAGAACTTTATTCATACTTAAGTCACCGTAGGCATTCACATGACGACGCGTTAAATGATACGCTTTAAACGCGCGTTAAATGTTAGCACGTTAAAATTAATTTACCATATTGTTTCGATCGAGATCGATATGAAATTCTTTACTCTTCTCTGAGCCATCGACGTTATTTTATTTTCTAAACATAACACAGTAGCACGCAACCGCTAAGTGCTCGGTGATCTCAAAAGAGATTCAAATGACGTTATAGAAACACTTATCGGATTTTCACTTGTTTATTTACTCGCCATCATAAAACAATAAAGTTTGTTTGGGCTTCTATATAGACTCGAAGCTACTCACAGTTTGGGAATACATCAAGGATGAAAAAATATACAAACGAAATTGGGTTGACTATGAAGTTTTTTAGAAATTGGGTTGAATATAATTTCTGTTTAAGTAAACAGAAAGAAATGGAATGGTGTTGGTTGGGTAGGTACTGATTATAATCATTATCATAAAATGAAATCGAGACAACTTTTTCGTATTTGCTGGAAAATCTTTTAATACTACTTTAGAAGGCACGCACTGCGAATAAACAACTGTAACCAAAACAAAATATAGGTTCTTGTAATGAGTTGAGTATATTCACCAATTGAGCAGGGACTAAGTTTAAGGAAAGAACATTTACAATGACCTCTCATCGAGGTAAATTTAGGCTTTTTGTGCAATAGGTCTATCGCATGTGCTCTGAAGAGACATTGTGCCACGTTTTCCCACTGGAAAGAATTTATTGAAAATTAAATAATAAAATGATTTCGTAGAGCTAACATAAGTACTTACTTGCATATAAATATAATTGGGACACTATCCCTTTCCGTATATGACTACTTACAGTCATGATCCAAAAAATTAAATGAAACGTAATATTTTTGTGGCGTCTTTGAAAGTTCAATTTACATCAAAGCAATGCAATCTCAATAGTACCTACCTTCTTATTCGCAGGTCTCACGTCACGTCGCAGGAAGTTTACGAGGCACGTGTCCAGCTTCCTCGGACACAGGATGTTTTGCGGTGCAAATGTGCAATCCAAGAGTTTCTGAAGTAAATTGCGAGTTCGATGTTTCGTCATAATGCTTTTGTTGTACAGGGTATCCTAGACATGATTGCTTACTTCTGAGTACTAAATTAAATAGGTTATGATTTCAATACGCTCTTTGATTGAAACTCATTCATTTTATAGTGAAGAAGATTGTGCAAACGATATTATATTAAAAGTCACACGAACTAAACTGTTCTATTTTGAGAAAACAGGTGCGGCGCGTTAGCGCGTTAGCGAAATTGTGTTGCTTTCAGAATGAAGGTCAATGTTGCATTGCTAGGTTTATCCTCTGTTTAACTGGGATGGTGTTAGATATAATTCTTGATAAAAACAGAATTTCACAGCGCGAAATAAAAAAAGTGAAGAAACAAATTTTCAAATGCTAATCACTATTTAATATGTCTGATGTAGGTACAGGGTCAAGAGCACGCCACGCTTTACACTTACGACATAGAACCAACTCTATGCCACTTACGATAAGAACGGTCCAAAGTACAAAGCGTCAAGCTCGATGTGCTCTTGACTGTACCTATCTTATAATAATTACATCTTAATACTTTTCTGACTTTTAGATTTTATAAATACGCCAATTTTCCTTTTTCTAAATTTCTCCATTTGTTGAGAAACGACACGTCATTTGTTGATGTAGGTATTGTATTGAAAGTACCAATTCTGATTAATTCAACAACATAAAGGAGTCCAAAAAACCTCTTCAATCTACATAATAGTAATACGAAAACAGTTACAGTAGTTAATTAAAGTAAAAACTTCAAATTATTTGCATCGTGTCCCAAAATTACGTGCCCTAAATTCTATTTTTTTCGGAGCGCCCTAATTTTACTAGGTGTTCGTAGCCTTGTGCCCCAACTTGTTTACTATTCTAACATTTAGGTGAGATACAGGCAATAAATAAAATGATTTGGTTTTAATTATTTCAACAATAAATAGATACAGGCAGCATCAGCCAATATATGTATAAACTAGAAACTTGAAATGTACGTAAAACACTAAGAGAATAACAGTTAGACCGCTTTTCACTGTATCTATAAACAGTAGTTTAGAATTATAAAAGTTTTTTATATACTTAAAAATTTCAAACGAATCATTTTTTTCATTGCCTGTACGGATATTAAAACAAATATTCAAATGAAACGGAGCGAACCATATCATGTAAATTTTATTTCGTTAATTTATTACAGTCGCGAAAGTAGGGCACGATAAGACTGAAAAATACGAGTACTGCAATTCCGGCGCAACAAAAATGAGACACTGAGGCAATCCTTGTCAACGATTCATATTAGTACGAGATTATTGTTTTCCAGTCGTTTAATGCGACACGTACTGGGTGATATAGATGTTCTCATATGTAACCCGGAACAACGTCTTCAATACAAAATGCACGTAAGCGTGCCTAAACCGATCAATTATTTTAGTAAATGTGACTGTCCGTGGGCTTCCTCTTGACTAAATAGAACGTCCGGATGGAAGAACGGTAGTTGAATTTTTACTTATTAGTATTGATTAGACAAATGAACAGCCCATGGGCACCAAGCTAACAGAATGACGCGGGCAATTGTCTGCATATCCGCTGCATTAATGACTTACAAATTAAAGACTCACGTCCATGATAATACGTTGATTTGTAATGGTAAATAAAGTTTATTGTGACCATTTTTGAACTTTTCTAATTTATAATGTACGTATGTATTTTAGGACACCGAAGATAATAAGCACAAACAAACAAAGTTCAATAACATTGGTGTATAGTAAATGAGCATTAGCATAATTTATTCGTTATAAATCTTGCTCTACCATCCACTATTGCAATTAAGTGAATCTCTTTATCTGCACCATTCTTGCTTCCACTCAGGTCTTTGGAGTTGCTCCAGTTAAGGGTAAAAACCCTATCGTTTGCGATCTATACGAAGCACGTAGATTAATCAGCGGGAATTCAACACGACAAAGGCAAGGACCCTATGCGAGGACTACGAGGAATACGAAGCAGGAAATTATTGTAGAAGAATATTGACAATGGAAGATCTGCTGGGTTTAAACTGTATAGGCATTATTGTAAAGAAAGAAAAAGATTAGCTTACAAGATTTTATTAAAATAAATTAAGTTAGCGGCTAATCACCTAATATGAGATCTAGGTAAAAACAACGACATCTATGTGAAAAGTATCGAAGTTTATGTATTAAGGTCACACTACTAACTAAATTATGAGAGTCTATCGTGCAGTTCGCCTAAGGGGTTATTCCTGTCTGCTCCCCTAAACTGATACACCGCCAATTTTAAATCCCAACTGATCCCCTCCATATTTTGCATTTCCCAACGGATACCTTCATTGTATTTGTAAGGCAAGTACAGTAAAGGGAGAAGTAAGTTTTGAAACCAAATATTCCCTATTGAGCAATTGTGATTAAATGTTATAATTATCACAGACAGTAAATTTTTTGTGGCAGATCATTAATATTGACATATTGCAAATCACAAGTAATCACAAAAAATCACTTTTAAGTAGTATATAAGAAAATAACAATGTGTTAAAGACTTTGACCATTAAAGCGTAGGTACCTACGCACAACCCTCAAATACGTTTCTTGTTGACTGTACCATATTATTTACTTACAATAAACTTATAAGTACCAGGGTATCAGGTGGGAATAAAATATTAATAATTGCTTTTGATGCCCTGTATTGGGGATCCGATGGGAATAGAAAATAATATAAAATAAAATGGATCTCCAGGGGACCGGTTTTAGGGGATCAGACGGGAACAACCCACCAAATGATATAGGCATCTTCTAATTGTAACCAGATTTGTTTCTCAAGTCAGGGTAAGGGTACAAATCAGTCTTTCACAGACCGTTACTTGCAATTAAAACAGCACTTCAAAGTAATAAATCTGCGTAAGATTATGCAGACTCGTAGTTTTATTTGCATCCCACGAGGACTAGATCTCAATTTACGGTTCAAATAATTATAGTTGTCGTGGGTATTACCTTGACTAACTGCAGTGCTAACTGTATGAGGTTTGTGCCATGATTGATTTTTTTTTATTATTTAATTAATGTGAATAATTATATCTATGAAGCCATCTCTAGTATGTTCGATTTAGTATTAAAAGACCATCCCCTCGTGTTATAGATACGGTATATTTCTTTAAAACCCCCAGGTGCCAATTACAAAAAATAAGTATCTTTGTGATTTCATTAATCTTATGTATTAATGGTTTTAGTACATTAAATACTTAGTACTTAGGAAATGAAACTATTTTTCCGGATTTAAATCGCGTATATTTGTTTTTTCAAACAAACCGACGTTTCGGGCCCTTTACAGGTCCCATG